ATATGGTGTTTCAAAGCATATTTAAATCGAGGTTCATGTATCCCAATTCATTTCTTGTTGTATCTCTACTGGAATATGTGAATCGCCTGCACGCAAGCCGAAATTATTCGGAACGTCTTACAGCCAACCCAGCCCTTGATGCCCGATACTGAAATGAACGAGAATAGTATAGATCAAGGAAATAACTGACTCTACGTGGCGTTCCTTTGTCTGGGCATAAAGATGATGATGAAGCGACTGTAAACCTAAAACCCAGACGGCTTATGGTTGATTAGTCTGAGATGCATTCTCGTCCATCCGGGCAACGGAGAGGGAAGATGTATAAATCGCGCGGACTCGTGGCTCGACTGTCACAAATGAGCATGGCAAGGTGATGAGAGTGGGGTGGAGGATTAGTAGAGAATCGGAGCTTCAAGTAGAAGGGCCTCAAGCGTACCTATTGAAGTACTCAAGAGGCATCGACCAAGATATTCTGTTGGAGCCCCGGCTAAGCATGACCATCAGCATGACTAGTACGAGGGAATACACAAACGATGCTATGTGTCGAGGAGATCTATCGGGGATCAGATCGCTGTATTCCAAGTTTTTTTATTTATCTAGATCGAGGGATAACCTACAGGCGTTCCTGGGAGGCGTTAGAGAGATACTTTCTCCTCGCTGATGGCCCTTCTCCACGAGGTCTACCAGCCACGAAACGAATATGGGATCACGGATATGAGTGGAACGTTGAGGATCAACTTTACGTACTCAATGTCGTGTCTAATGTTTTTTCGCTGACTTACAGTTTTGAGATTTTGAGAGACGTTGATCGACGTGAGCAACAACGACAATCTGAATCTCGGAGATACATCACTCCAGAGTCTGGAGCACTAATAGTGTTCCATCCTGCAACTGCCCAGCACACCGCTCAAATCGATTTGCATTCAAGATCCTCGTGATCTGCTGAGCGCCATGCTATCGTCCAGCTGGGCTATATAGCAACGAATCGTGCGTGAAGAGTAAATGTAGCGCAAAAGATTGGAAAGTCATTGGATCATCTGATACCCAGATCAGTTGCCGTAGTAGATGTATGAACCAACGCATCACTGAAATATAACAACGAATTCAACGATACTGATCGTGATCGGTTTAAAAAAGACTGACCGCTCGACTGTCAGAGTAAAGCATCGAACGAGATGCATATAAACACATCTCAGAGTTGAGAAGATAAAGACTTGAAAGTATACACTTCACTTCAACAAGTCGTTATCCGCTCGCCCATGTACTGCATGAGTGGTATGTTTGAGTCCAGACAGCTGATGGAGCAGAATGTGCGACCGTCTATTAAATACAAAGACCAAAGGAGAAAGAAGTACGCACGATTTATAGAAGGTCAGATGGCTCGTAACTGTCGCGATGCGAAGATGGCAGGGATCACTGGCTCGGCTTATGTCCGAGCACGAAGCATGGACCACGAAAAAGAACCAAGAAATTAAAATGATTGCAGAATTGTGCATTGGGTCATAATACATAGCATGGATAAGACAGAAATTTGACGGGAGCTGTATGGTGACCATTGCCGTTACATCAGGTCTCGGCAGTAATCTTTTTAGAACACTCTCGTTGCCCACCAACAAATCTCGGAGGTTCCGTGTCTTTCGCGTGCCGGTATCACTGGTTTATCGTGTCTAGTATCGTGTGCGTCTATTATCCTGATTTTAGATCGGGAATAGTGAAACAGCGGAGCTATGGGATGATCTACTTCTCGGACTTTGGCTATGCGTGTGCAACGTGGAATAATCACTGGCAGGCTACGGTACAACTTTCAAAACATGACAATGACATTACTGAGCATGTTGATGGCCGGGATACTGTCGTTGGAAAGGCTAAGGAGGCCTAAAAGAGTGCACATGCTTTGTTGATCGCATCACGCTTGGACCTGTGCTAAAACGATGACTACACGTTTTCATAGGGCACTCCTTAATTTTGGCAACTTTTCAGCAAAAATACCCCAAGAACCACGTTGGAAATAAGTTGCCGACATCACCAACGGACTGGAACGTTCCTGGTATTCGGCAGTCACTGCGTAAGGAAAACAAAATCCACTTTGATTATTGAAACTTTCTTGTTGTACGATTTCTCACCGCACCCGATCAAGGATCCATCTTCATCATGCAGATTTCGGCGGTAGAAGGGCTGAACGGGGGTATATCTAGCATAAACGCTACCGTTATACACCACCAAAATTCCCCATTTGCCCATAGTCATCCTCGAATATGACTGTAGTCATAAATGATCCCAGTTGGTGGCCGATAATCAATTGGAATATTATTTATAGCTATTGGACAGGTTTGTCGTATCAAATGTCTTGATTTAACATTGATTCTGTTTCGCAGTTGCCGCCAGCGTCGTGGTGGTATACGATTGGGGTGAGCAGGACAGTGTTCAAAAACTGCTGATCTTCTCATAATTCTTCCAGTGCTAACGATTGGACAAGAGGTAGGTCGATATTATTGCCGGAGCAGCCAAATCGCTAAGAATCGTGTCATAGATTGAATTGATCTGGGTAAGTGACAAGATTCCCGTATCAGCAGAAAAGAAGATAATACAATGAATTCACGACAGAGGCAACGATGGTCTCTCATGACTGCGCTGTATTTGCTTGTTCGTACCTCATGTTGTCCTATAGCGTGACTGGCAAGTCGTGCTGACTCCAAGATGGTTCCAGATACGTTATATTGGAATACCATATTCTGTGTATGTGTCGAGGCCAACAACTTGGCATTGTGCTAATGCTCATCTCTGACAATCAGTACCTATGTTCTGGGTATGTGTCATATGTGCTGTGTTCGATTCTTCTGACCAGCGGCGCACAGTAATGATGCCATTGGTCTCGGTAGGAGACGCAGTGAGTATGACGCAACCATCTCATTCCTATTGAATGAATACACTCATATGTAGGGGTGAGTGAGATTCTGAACATTGAGCCTGGCCCGACACAATGACTACACAGATGTGAGTCGGTGTTTGATACCAATACCTGAGGCTAATCACTGATTGGGTGTTTCAGGCACTATTGCATACTATGCATTGAATGGGACAAATGTGGTCGTAACTGCCATGTTGGGTGGTGGGTGACCTAGCTCAATACCTCTGTGATATTGACTCAACTGAAACATGATGCAAGTCATCATGATTGCCCGGTTACATGCCATGTATCAGGGATCCAGAACGATGCTTCTCTTCCTTGTTATCATGTTCCTGGCTGTAAACATCGCCTGCGGGGTCCTGGCAGCAATAGTGCTCAAGGGTAGTGTAGGGGGTGAGCTTACTTGTCGACTCGAAGAACGCAGCTCATTGGACGAATGCCAGAGGAGCTGATACTCTCTGGCACGTATATGTGCACTTATAACTATGTCACACTTCTTGCTTCAATGGTTTGGATGCTCACCACTGTTTGGGAGGTCCTCGCACTGTGTCTTTCAGTCTGGGTTGCTGTGAAACACTTCCGTGACCTGCGAAGACTCGGCCAATCGACAGGAACGAACATCGGGGACTGTTTCAGAGTGCTGATACAATCTCACGTGCTTTATTTTGCAAGGTGAGGTTGTCATGTAATTGTGGTCATAGTTTTCTGCTAAAGTCCCGTGCGTGCTAGCTTTGTTTGTGTCTCTTGCCTCCAGCTTGCTACTCTATCTCCAGAGATCACTGTGCGCTGACCTATCGCTGACATCTGCGTGTAAACATTGCTCACCGTTTCTGCAGAATTCATATTCTACTGGAGTTATGACACTCGATGGTGCTCTTGATATTTTATTAGGCGTGCAGATGTTTGTGCTGGGCCCACGCCTAATCCTTAGTGTTCGAGAATATCACGCCAAACTCGTGGCCAAGTCTGACGCAGAAACCAGCATGAATTCGATTGTCTTCGAGGAGCATGTACATGTGACGACTAGCAGTACTGTGTAGGGACATACATGGCGAGTGGTCTGCGGGGAAGAGAAATTTGGTCGAGGATCCGTCGTAGTATTTATTTAACATATGGTGCTTCCAGGTATATTTAAATTGAGGTCGATGTATTCCAATTCATTTCTTGTTGTATCTCTACTGGAATACGTGAATCGCCTGCACGCAAGCCGAAATTATTCGGAACGTCTTACAGCCAACCCAGCCCTTGATGCCCGATACTGAAATGAACGAGAATAGTATAGATCAAGGAAATAACTGACTCTACGTGGCGTTCCTTTGTCTGGGCATAAAGATGATGATGAAGCGACTGTAAACCCGACGAACAACACTATCTTGTGATGTTGGATAGCCCCATACTCGGCCGACGACCGCGACGAAGGTCGAAACTGGACGGTTTTGAGCACACCCGTCTCCTCATACTAAACGTCCGTGCCTTATATGCTACCATAGCGTGGTTGGCAGGTTATACTAACTCCAAAATGTTTTAGATACGTTATATTGGACTACCATATCTTGTGTATGTGTCAAGGCCAACGAATCGACACTGCTAATAGCTCATCGACCATTCCTCACAATCAGTTCATTTATGCTGGGTAAGTTTCATATGCGCTGTGTTCTATTCGCTTGACCTGCGGCATACAAAAAATATGCCATTCGTCTCGCTGACAGATGCAGTGAGTATTCCACAACTATTTCATTCCTATCCCATGAATATACTTATTTGTAGGGGTGGGCGAGATTCTGATCATTCGATTTGGCTCAACACGGTTCATTGGACAAATAACAGAGGAGCTCATACTACACTAAACTCGTGACTGATTCCGACGCGGACGTTAGTATGACATCGATTGTTTTCCGGGAGCGTGTACATATATTAACTAGCAGTACTGTGTAGGGACATGCTTACTTGGCGAGTGTTCTGCAGGGAGGATAAAGGATCCGTCGTGGTATTTATTCACCATATAGTGTTCGAAGTACGACCTGAAGTGTATGTAGACAAACCCATTTCTTGTCGTATCATTACTGAAACTCGGTGAACTGCCAGCCCACGCGTGGCAAGCTGAAATCATCTGGAACGTCTGGCATTCAATTCACTCCTTCATGCGAATACCCCAAGTACAACGAGAACTGCAAGGAGAAGTTTAGTCGAGGGTCCGTCATGGTGCAGGAAGCATAAAAGTCACAAAGTTGTACCAGTATGTATCGAAAATGACACAAACAAGGGGATCCGGGTCTTAGGTTTTAAGTTACCTAGCGCGTAGACATACTGTAATACAATGAAAGTAGTGTAATCGTGTTCTATGAAGCGTGCAGTGCTTATACAGGGCAATCAACAAGACTTCATCAAAAGGGAAATGGTATTGAGAGAAGCATGAAATACGGAGCACAGAAGGGTCGTAGATGAGAAGACGGAAGATGGAAATGAAAAAAATGATGACCGCGTAATGTCTACACTAATGCTGATCATCTGTATGCACACAACAAATACAGAGCAAGAAACGAATCCAGCATCCAGCTTGGATATCGCGTTGCGACGTCGTTCCAGTTGCTGATGTGGTACTGTCCACTGCGGGAGGTGCTCCGGATGTCGTGGCATTAGCAGGTGGCCCCTGCGACGAGGATGGTATGTTCTGGGTTGTTGCATTACGTTGATGTGTGGTATGAGGATAAGAACGTTGAGACGAGCTGGCGGATGGCTTCTTTACCGCGTGATAGTTCCTCTGAGTCAAAAACGAGTCAGGGATGGAGAGGAACGGAGAAGGGAGAAATATACCGGCTTGGCCCATGTGCATGGAACGTCGACTACGGGTATCTCTTGTAATTCTGTGTCCGTTTGATTTCGTTTGTGTGACATGCCAGAGACGAAGTGTCGAGGCCAGCTGAGAGGATGGGGTCGAGAGATGGTGTTGCGCTCAGTTGTCTCATGCGACTCGTGGCGGCGCCATAAGGAGCAAGGAGAGGTTGTGGTGTTGATAAGGCGAGACGATCACGTCTCCCTTGGGATGCGACCTAGTGTTTGTGTCAAGCGGGACTCTACGATTATAGATGAAAAATCACATACATGTGGGGAATCATCAAAGAATCCCTGGGGTATCCGACGAGCATCTTTGATTAGCGGGCGTCCTTGCCGGGTGGCATCAGCCTAGTATGTAGATGTTCAAAGCAAAGCTATTGTAAGGAACGTACAACATACATCTGATAGAGGCTTTTTGACGGTATTCTGTGATGAATGAATCAGTTTGCGAGGTTTTGGTGAGAAACGGTCCTAAGAGTATGAGTGAACTCGTCGTCAATAAATATATTGGAGCTCACTTTATCAGATAGAAGGTCTTCGCGACCAGCTTCTATGACATCCCATATGCATATGTCCAGGTGGGGACATCGAATTTCCTGATACCATTCCATTTGCCGGCGATAACTGTATCCGGAGCCCATGTCTACTATTCCGAGAGTGTCGAATGTTTTGAGCAATTTGCCTGTATTGGCGTCCCAGATTTTCAGCCCATAGTGATCCCCGTCTGTCGCAATCATATCGCCATCAGGTGAGTAACCGCAAACCGGCCAGATAAAGTCGTTCTCTATTTTTGGTGCCAGTTTCAATATCGTCTCGCTGCTCTCGACATCCCACACTCTGAATGTCTCATCTTCAGATCCACTAACCACTCGCCCTCCGTCTGGACTCCAGCACACACAAAAAACTCGCTTTGTATGTCCCGTGAATTTTTTGTCGACCTTGCCCGTATCGATATTCCACAATCTCACTTTACCATCCCAACTCCCACTTGCTACTTTCTTACCATCTGGTGACAATGCTATGGAGTATACTGGCCCGTCCGCTTCGTCCTTCCAGGCCTCGCAGACCTGCATCCCACTCTCCAAGTCCCAGATTCGAATTGAGCCATCATGCGAACAGCTGATGATCCGTCGTCCACCAGGCAAGTGGATGATCTCATTGATAATATGGGTATGTCCTTCTATCCTTTGGCGAGGCTCTATCATCGATGTTCTTTTCATTTCAGGTGCAGGGCAAGAGATTTCTGCTGAGATGCGCGAGGTCAATATCAGCTCCTACCCTCAGAAGCTGCACAAATGGTGTCGCCTACTCACCTTAGTTTCACTTGCACTATATGAATGCTGCGATGAAGTGGACGTTTTCTTCGATGTACAGTCTAGTCAGATAAAGGTCGTTGTCGAAGTTGCAGGTGCGACTTTCATACTGTATTCCTGTGTTTACTTCACAGCTTGAACGCGGGCTGTGCAGATCAAGCGCCCAAGGCCGGTCTCCTAAGAATATCCGCATAGTCTTCATCTTGACCTTCATCAGCATCTGGTGTTTTTGCTATCGTGCGAGTGTCTGCATCACCTCTCCGGTTCAATACAGGTTTTAGTCTATGTTCTTTCACGCTGCACGTCGCTCAAGATTTTTGTAATCATGGTAGCCGAGATCCTCAGTGACTGGAAAATGTGCTGGTTGACTCACAGTGATTCTTTTCTTCCTCAGCCTCGCGTGGAGTCGCGGAGCACTGTTTGTGCACGTGAACGATACCAAGGATCAGCTTAACAGGCACATGTTTTGTGGAGAAAGCCCTTGGGTCGGTCAACAGTCTATCATTCACGATATGGGTAAGTGGAATGACGCTCTACGACTAGCACTAATGGCAGTATGCCGCCCTTGATGAGGATGAGCTCTTTATGGTCCATGCTTTTACCACGCGTTTGAATTTAGGAAATCAGTCATGCTCGCATCGGTGCATGGTTATATGCATTCACACCGCAGCTCATTCCAACGACAAGAATTTCCGTATGGCTAGGCACGTTTGTCTTATATCGCTCCGGAAATACTTGATCTTGTAAGCGTTGTCCTTTCATATCATGTGAAGAGGAAGTCGTCATTAAATACTGAATACAGGTAAGAAACATGATCTTTCTGCACAATTACAGTAAGAGGACAACTCCGGGCAGCACTCGTTCGTAGGAATTGACGCGAGAACTGTTCTACCTAGCGCGTAGACATACTGCGATGCAATGAAAGTAGTGTCAGTGATGATGTCCCATAAGTGTGCTGCGGTTCTTATAAACAAGACTCCTTCAAAAGCGAAGCGCTATTGAAGGAAGCACGGGGTTATGATGATTGTGTTATCATTGTATATATATATTGGATTGGCTACATCAGCGTGTAATAATTTGTGAGAAGTTGGACGGCTGATAATAGTCGAGAGGAAACTGGCCATATCGTGACACTCAGGCTGGCAATATGTAGTGGCAGAACTATTCTAAGGTAGTTCTTTGGGCACTGAACCGGCAGAACTTCACATATGCAGGAATTCCGTCACATTCCGCCGGGAAGGTTCTGCCCACAACAGCGGCACAATATGGCAAATCATTGATATGAATTCATTTGAAGGTACGTCCGCACAAAAATCAAGTCCAAAGAACCATACAAAAACCAAACGTCGTCCCACTATCCCCTTTAGAATTATCTGAGTCCACACACGAGTCGCAAACGATGCATTTCTCCTCTGCCACTGTCCTCGCCATCATTGCTGCTTTAGTGCCCTCAATCTCTGCCATGCCAACTACTAGTGATGCAGCTAGCCCTTACAACTTTCAATGCTCCAAATATTGCTTCGATGACGATGATTGCATACCAACTAAAGATTGCGCATGGAAGAAATGCGTGAGTATCAGCATTTTTCTGGACCTGATAACATGACTCACCTGCATGGCAGGGCCCTGCGTATTACTGCCATGTGAGTCATATTTTTGCCTTCATATCCTCGAGTTACTATGGTCGTTGACGCTGACGCGCGAGTTATTGGTGATTTTTTCAGAACTGATTGACGGGGGTTATGATGATTGTGTTGTCATTATATAGTTTTTTTGGCTACATCAGTGTGTAATAATTTATGAGAAGTTGAGGGCTGATAAGTCGAGAGGAACTGGCCATACGCTGGCAATATGTAGCGGCAGAACAATTCCAAGGTAGTTCTTCCGGCAGAACTGGCAGAACTTCAGGCTGGACATGTGCGCGAGTTCCGTCACATTCTGCCGGGGAGGTTCTGCCCACAACAGCGGCAACAATATGGCAAATCGTAGATATGCCATTCATTCGAAGGGCACGTCCGCGCAAACATTTAGTCCAGAGAACGATAAAAACCAAACGTCGTCCTACTATCCCCTTCAGAATTACCTGATTCCACCCACGAGTCGCAAACAATGCGTTTCTCCTCTACAACTGTCCTAGCCATCATTGCTGCTCTAGTGTCCTCAACCTCTGCCATGCCAACTACTAGTGATGCAGCTAGCCCTTCAAGTTACGACGCTCGATGTTCCAAATCTTGCTGGGATGACGCTGATTGCACACCAACCACCTGTTCTTGTAATAGTAATACATTATATACTGTAGCACATCGAAAAATGTCATACATGAATCATTGTCATAACACGACCCAGTACATTGAGTCATACATTAGGGCCCTTCTCCCCCCAGTACTTCGAGTCATACATTAGGGCCCTTCTCCCCGAGTCATACATTAGGGCCCTTCTCCCCCCAGTACTTCGAGTCATACATTAGTGCCTTCTCCCCCCAGTATTTCGAGTCATACATTAGGGCCCTTTATCCATTTACCTCCCTTTTATCACACAGGCTCTTCCTGACTTCTTCGAAGATCGAAGACATAAGGCACATTAGATTACTCATCAAGGAACAGAATGTAGGAACAGAATGTAATACTACTCGTCATCACGCTGTAATGGAGGCCCTTCCAAAGATGGTGTTTGATCGTCGGCCTCGTTGTCGATTTCAGGGACCGGATCAAGCTCGGAGATCACAGCGGATAGAGTACCACTCCAAAGCGTCGAGAAACGCGCTACCAGACCCTCCCGTACAGAGACTTGGCGCTTTGCAGTAAGCAATACTTCCCCTCGCGGTCAGCATCCTTAGTAAAAGACCGCGCAGTACTTCGTTCATTCCACTGAGTCATTTCCCAGCGGAAAAACACCAATACTCTTTGCATCTCCTCAATAAGCAAAGAGAACTCTTCGGACCAGCGGGACGCTCGTGCCCTGGCCTTACACCACTCGACACGTAAACCTGACAGTGTCATAATGAGACAAACTCCGAGGATCGTGCAACGAGCAACTTACAATCTTGAAGACCCACGTCGTTATTCTGCAAAACACCCGGCGCCTTCCATATCCAGGGGATGTCGCGTCTCCCTTCTGATTGGCCCGCTGCATCGCCCATAGGCCGCATATCCGACACGTTCAACGGCCGAAATATGTCTCTGAAGCCTACCATACCTAGACGATCCCCGAGCTTATCAAGTGCCACGCGAGCGGCCTCATATTTGAGTCGGCTGGCGCATTTTTTTGCCTCTGCGAGGTCAAGAGCACTCCGCGCACGGGTACTCGCTCGCTGACCACGGACGTGCAGGGTCTTGAATGTGTTAAGATGGGCGTGGAGGCGGATGTTTTGACGAACGTCGTTTAAGGCATCATCGACCTGTGCGTACCGAAGCTGCCACTCGATTTGGCACAATGAGGGATCGCAGGGAGTTGTGGTGTCGAGTTGTGATGGAAGGAGAAGAACGAAATCCTCAGGCATTTCGTGTTGGGGGCTGTCATCATGCTGGGCGCGAAGGCGAAGGGAAGCGACGGCAGGCATGTACAATGTTTGAACTTGGATCCAGGCGTCGAGCTTGCGTTGCAGCGCGTTTGAGCGCGTTTGCATTTTGGCCTTCTGGTTGTCAGTAGGATTTTGGCTTGACGTTTTCCTGTCCGCACATAGACGCCGCCTGTAATATATTATTTAGCAACAAATGAAAACAAATGAGTTCCTGAGACATACTGCTGGTCTTCGAGCTCGAGCCCATTTGCTATGAGCATGCTGGGTGAAATCTCAGCATGAAGGGACAAGTCGATTCCATCTTGCAAGTCACGTATTTCACGTTCTGCGAATTCCAAGCGAACCGTAGCTTGAGTCATCGCTAGAACCACGGCAAACAGTTCATCAGTATAGAAGGGTAGAAACAACGAAACCGACGCACGAACGACTCGACTTTCAAAGGGGTTTGCATTTGTATTGTCCTCCTCCCATGCTTCTACATCCGCACGCCACAATGCTAATGTTGACGCATCGATTGCATCTTCAAGTTCAGCGAGTTCTTCACGATGGGCTCGAAGCAGCCACGGCGGCTTCCTTGAGTTTGCGCAGTAGAGTGCGCCCTATTAACAATACATCAATCAAATAAAACAGACGATGATAAAACAACGTACCCAACATAGTGGTCTTCTTCCAATTCCAATCACCGAAGTGATCGTCGAGCGTGTCACGACGGTTACCAGGCCCCATCTCCCTTGTACTCGTTGCAACACGATTGATATCCGCCCAACCACGTTCGGGTGCCTCTCCGTCGGTCCGCCCCACCCATTTGGAGAAATTAAACGAGAATGTTGTTTGGCAAGCCTGGATATGGGCTTTAAGGTGAAATTTCGGGACAAAAAAGCGAACCTGTCTTGTTTTCACGGTTAAATTGCAGTCGTTGTGGCATGGTGGTATTGCGAGACCAGAGTTTCTTATGCCACTGACAGGCGATGTCATAGGACAAGTTGAATACAGCAAGGCCGAAGCTGACGAGGACCGAAAAAACAAGGTAATCCATGTTTATATACCTGTCTAGTAGTTAGTATCATAGAGTCTGAAAAAATATGACCTCCTACTTTTCTCCCTTCTGGAGGTCGCCTACGCTATTGGGAAGTCTCATCTCGTGTCGTGCACAAACAACAGACCCAACACTGGTTGCTGCAAGTCCTCGGGACGCCTTTGTATCCGCAGTATTCACCGCGTTGTGACTGACGCAGGTGCTTCTCTGCCTACCATCAGATCATGCTACTAAACAGGACGAATAGGATACATACTTCTTGCCGTTCTGTGCTTCGTTCAGACAGAAACTTCTTGTAAGCATCCTCTTCCACAAAATAAGCCCATCCTGAATTAAGACTCGGGTCGCGATCATCGCTAGATACAGCCTTGCGCTTCAGCCGAAAGTTGGCATCAATGGCGAGGAATAACGCATACCGCCACCTGTAAAACTGAGCACCGTGGCAAGCACATAGGATGCGTTACTTACCTAATGTCAGGTGGTGAATCCTCCCATCCGTCAGGAATATTGATTCCTGGATGTGGACATGCTGGGCATGGTACAACACACCCCCCATTTGGTGTTGCTTCGATACCTTTGGGATCATGGCCACGACCAGTGCGCATGAGTTGCATTATGTGACGCCATTCTCGCATCATCCGCATGAACTCCGAATAACGATCCTAAAAGGGCGGATCAATCAAATTTAATGGAGGAGTTTCACATGTCACTATACCTTGATTGGCGAGGTTCCTGTGTTGTCTGACCGCCTTGCCAAACTATGGTAAAATTCGTACGAAGATACTTTCGACTCGAAAGAGAGCAAATGAAACAATTCCAGGATGCTGAATGTCGCCGCTGTTCGAGGGTCGGATGTGGTAGCTGGAAACCACCGAACTCGTAGAAGCTGCTTGTAGCGTATCTGCGCAGTTTCGCATCCGCAGAAGTCTACAGCGACATCATGGATGCCATGCGCATCAATTACCGTAAATTCGTCGCCAGACACCGGCTGGGCATTGTAGCAGCGCTCACCAGGCGTATGGCCTAGCTGCACGCGCAATCCGAGAGTTTTTAATGTTACACTCTCGAAGAATTTGCCGTTCCACATCTGGTAATATTGCGATAAACAAATAAGGAAAATAAAAATGAAGAACACATACGTCTATACGGTGAAGGGGATTGCTTAAGTGACGGGGAATAATACACGCCTGGCAGACCATTTCGACGCCAAAACAATCTCTACAACGGTAAAGAGGGATTGCATTGTCGGTACCGCAACGACAATTCAAAAGCGTCCACTCATTACCACGGCCTTCAAGACGGATGAGCTCATCCAAGAAAGCAGAACGTTCGTGCAGCCATTGTAACAGGGGGTTGTCCTTCAAAATATTGGAGTGAGCATTTCATCATCCTAAGTACAAAAGACATACTGCGCCAGGCCTTTTTCTCTTCGGTATGTGTTCTGATTCTTGTCCCTGAGGCTCGGGGTCTTGATATTGTATTTCATTCCAGTCATCGAGACTCGGTAAAACAGGAGACGACTCAGATGAGGGGTTATGATTATCGGTAGGCTGAGAAAGCATGTATGTAGTGTCGACGGACAAGTCGCCATTGTGCTGTATCCCATAGGAACGAAAACGGTCGTACACAGGTGCAGGACGAGCCTCATTCACGTCAACATAGCGCGAGAACTTCGCTTTCTTGCTTGGTCGGCCCACCATGACAGGCCAGTTATCGGACAGACGCTGTATGGACTTGTGTTTTTCACCCCACCTAACACACGGGCGATGAGCAAAGAAGTCGCTGAGATGCCCAAAAGCCTCAAATAGAACTGGAGTTGCTTGCATTGGCAAGTACTATGCAAACCGGAAGGGCAATATTCCTGTGGTTTGCGCAAACAGCTTGATCCGGCTTGATCCGGCTTGATCGATCGATCCGTTACGGATACAACCATCAACAAAGATTCTCATCTTTGCGAGTCACTTGGAGCAGTTCTGCTTGGAGAATTCAATTAATATTGCCTCTACTACTGTGCTATGAACATTCGATGTCCACGATCCTCGATATATCCTATTCTGAGCGATTTGGGCGAAGGCGCGCAGCGCCTCCCGGTCCCGAGTTGCGTGTCCTGCCAGATAAAAGGTGAGCTGCGAGGGTGGGAGGGAAAAGAAAACCATCGCGAGCTACTCATGACAGGGATCAGGCGCAGTCCGGACCACCAAAGAGGGAGAGCGATGAGCGATGCTTGAGTGTTGGCACGAACCATCGCATGTTGAAAAGGGAGCGGTGGGTGGGGAAAAGAAAAGGAGGAAGAACGTTGTCGTTGAGGACGACTGAGACGATACGGCGCGACGTCACAGTACGAAGTCAGAAGGTTCGTACTGCTTCCGACGCTTGCGCAAAGACTTAATTCTGTTCCTACACTCGTTCCTCGTTACATAATAGACTATCAATCTTTGCGAGTCACTTGGAGCAGTTCTGCTTGGAGAATTCAATTAATATTGCCTCTACTACTGTGCTATGAACATTCGATGTCCACGATCCTCGATATATCCTATTCTGAGCGATTTGGGCGAAGGCGCGCAGCGCCTCCCGGTCCCGAGTTGCGTGTCCTGCCAGATAAAAGGTGAGCTGCGGTTCCCAACTGTCTAGGAGTTCGACGACGCATCGAGCGAACCGAAGATACCCATAAGACTAGGAGGAGAATGGATGCTTACATGAAGAAGCCGTTACCGAACGCGGGGCATTGTGTGCCGCAGGAATTCATCTTGAATGGCGGGTGTTGCTTGAAGGTATGGTGCGAGAATCTGAGCGTGATCTCGAAGATAGATCTGGAAGGCATCACTGGCCCACCTTCCCATTGTCTTGACGACCTCGAATGGGATGTTTCGGAGGAGGTATTCCAAGGTAGCACCTATTCTGATAGCGTGGCCTTGCAATGGGTCGAGGCCAGCATCCTTTGCAGCGCGAGCAAGCCTTGCAATGAACTTTGTTTTCGTCAAAGGACGGTGTGCCTCGCCGAACTTATAGGAAAAGAGTGCGATGTCGAAGTGGGGGTTGTTGATGTTGAGATGGTTGGATAATGCGGCCTCAGGATCAGTGGGACCCTCTTGTTTCGCCCAGAAAACGTCCTCCCCGTTTTGTGATGTTTTCGTGCGGGGTAAATGAAAAATGGTAGTCGCGAGCCCATTGCGATCTGTTTCGTGACGAATGTCGGAGCGTTTGACGTGAATGGAGGGATCAAATGATGAAAGAGTTCGGATCGTGAATTCTCCAGCTCTGGCCATTGAATAAAAGGCTGTTGTGAGACAGCTACCCACTGCAGCATCGAGAGGGTTGTTGGGGTCTAGTTTCTGCAAGATGCTAGTTATAAAAGCCACGGTGTATGGTGGTCTTTTCTTCCTTCTTGATGACGAGGGCGTGAGGTTCTTGGCCGCTTTCAGCATAGCATCTATTTTGTCATCATCTAAGGACCATGATTTTCCGTGCAAAATATGCCATGCGCGAATACCGTGGACATAACTTGATATAGTTTTCCCTGAATATGATCCGGCTAAGTCTGAAATGAAAGCTGAAATGAGTTCAGAAGACGCGGGTGCACGCATGGCTTCATTGATGGAGTGCGAGTCACAATAAACATGGTAGGCGAGGATGCCGCTTCCATATGCCTCCTGGGTGCTGCCAGCCCATGCGTGGATCATGACATCTTGAATGCGCTGTGCATCTGCGTGGGGGAGGCAAGATATTGATGTGTCGTCTGTGGCTGGTCGCCAAAGACGGAGCCTGTCTTTTGCTGTGCAATGGGGTCTTAGGACGGAAATATGAGGGGTGAGATTAGCAGGATAAGCTGCAACTAAGAATCTCGATGAGGGGGAAGCCTGCAGTGTGATGTTCGCTGACTTACTAAGCTTGCGTCGCTTTAAAGAGCTCTTCTCCTTGACGACGGAGCTCGTCATTGAGGTGCTCAGCTGATTCTCGTGAGCGGGCTCGGTCATTGACGTGTGGGAGCGCTTTGAGTTTCTTACTGCATGCATGGCACTCAGAAGGGATAGCGGGATTGTCAAAGTCCGTGACGAAGGGTTGGAGTGGCTGGGGGATGCTAATTGGGGGAAGCAGAAGGTCTGAGGGAGGGTAGATTCCCCTGGATGGGCCATCCGCTGGGTTGTAGTTGCTGGGTACATAGCGCGTGAGGAAAGTGCATTGCGTAGATGCGGCGAGCTCGTGGATCCTTTTGAAGACGGTATTGGTGGCCCTGTTGCGGCTACGCCCTTTCCACCACCCTTCAACGACTCCCCGGTTGTCCCCGAATATTTTGATGCAGCTGCCCGTTGGGCATAAACCGAGGAGTGCAATAATGAGGAATTCCATGCCGACTGCCTCTGCCCAGCCAATGTCTCTGTCTTCGGCTTTCCAGCCTGGGAGGAGACACCACGCTCGCCATCTGCCATTGATCCAAATCGCGATACCAGTGCCTGAGCTAGCGTCTGAGTAAGCCGAGGGGTCAATGATTTCGACGGGCCCTGGGATTGGCCGAGAGACGAGTGATTGTGAGAGGCTGGCTTTCCACCACCGGAGGTCATTACCTGTGTGCTTGGGGGGGGAACGAGGCATGTGCGGACGGTCGTGAAAAATGGATAGCATGGTCTCGAGAGAAACGAGGTAAGCTCTTCCTGCTGGGAGGACCAGAGAAGCATGTAAGAGCTTCCCATAAAGCTCCTGGACTTCCCGTAGCGTGTGTGAAGATCGAATCTCCCATTCTTTGATAGCTGCCACGTACTTCTCCTTCTTGCTCTGTGGGATCGAGACAGAACGCGACTCGATGTCCCAGAGGAAGCCAATAAAGGGGGCACATGACGAGAAAAGGATGTCTTTTGCCAGCTCCCAGGGTATTCCGAGAATTTTGGATAGGCGGTTGATGTCGTCAAAGCAAAATGTGAAGCGAGCATCTTCTGGGGATCGTGGGGAGGCTGTTGAGAGATCAATGATGGGAAACGAACAGTCTTCATCAAACTCTTCAATTCTGTCGTCAGGCATAGTTGAACCCCGATACCATTTTCGACCTCCTTCAATGAGCATGCCACCATTTCGTGCAATGATAGCGGCACGAGATTTGCGCAGGTTATTGTAGCTAGCAAGGTGCTCTCGCAGAATCCGAATGAATAGGTGATCGTCCACCCATTTGGATATCGGGCCAATTCCTTGTGATCGGAATATGTCTGCGCCAGCATCTGCGACCTCGCCATAGGTTCCTGCTGATGCCGAGAACCCGAAACAAAAGCTAGAATCAATGGCGAAGCTGTCTTCTCCTGTCCTGACAACCAGGCCCGGCCATTGAGAAGGATGAAGAGGTACTGTGCGGTAGGCTTCGGCCACGTCACGAACGGCTGCCTGAGATCCTGGGGGGAGAGACCAGATGAGTAGACAGATCGTCGATGCTGTACCCCATGTGCACGGATATAAGTTAGAGTCGATAGAGGAATTAATGGATGATATAGTGGCTGATGGACGAAGCGGGAACGAGAGGTTTTGCACAAGGCGGAATTTTCCTGGCTTTCCTGGCTTAGGAACCATGGAGAGTGGGGCTGTCTGGAAAGGACCGATGAGTTCTTCAGTCTCCAATTTAGATATAGGTCCGATATAACGACCAGTGGAATATTCACGGTCCAGAATAGCAGCAAAAGCGTCAAAATGTGCATGTAGCGAGGGGCTATTAGGTGGGATATAAGTTTGAGATATGGTTGGGACACTGCCCATGAAACCGAAGCGAAAACCATTCGGAATATGTGCATATTTACGTATGAGATTTGACGAAATGAGAAGCTGCAGCCAGGCCTCGGGCCTATAGGGAGTGATAGCATTAGATGCTCTCGCTTTGAGGACAGTCTTGAGCTCCGTGATCCTTTGCTCCGCACCCCGAACATTCGTGCACGTGAGCTCGAGAGGGATTGGTGCATCCCTTGGGTCTCTGCCAGTCGTAGCAGATTTCGAGGCCCTCTGGATTGACCAAATGACCCTCTGCGTTTCGACGACATCGAGTTTTGGTTCGTTTGTCCCATAGGAACTCGGATGCACATTTGTGGATGGGGTGACGGAATCAGCCAAGGCAGAGGGCGCAGGCTGATGGGCTGGTTTGGCCTGCGCCCGCTGGAAAAAACTGCTGCAACTTCTGCAGTTTTTTCGCCATTTGGTTAGCAGGGCGGTATGGGTGATAGCGGCCATCATTCACAAAAGGTACTGTCTCTGCGTGCCCATTTCGGCTGGAACTCACATCTCTCCCCCGAGAACGGGAAGAAGTGTTGGGAACTGCGAGCGAATGTTGCAACTGAGTGCAATAGAGCGAGCATGAAAGGATTCGAGTAAGCCAGGATTCGAACAATTATATGAAAGCAAAGATTTTGTTAAGCCATGGTATACAGGAAAGTGCGAAAGCAGTGTGGGTGTAAGCGAAGCAGCGGTTAAGTGTTTGAGAGGGACACAGTGAAAGCGGGAGTTTGAGTTAGCATGAGGGTAGATGGAGCGACAGCGTAGAGAGCGCAAGCAAGGGAGAGCGGAAGACAAAAGACGAAGTCATATATGCAATAGCACATGGATAGCAGATGGGGAATTGTACCCCAAAAGCAAGGACAGCCAAGAGTGAAAGCATTTAGACAGCCAGCGGGGTTCGTTTCCGACATGAGATTGAATATATAAAAGAATTTGGTCAGTGATTGAATGTTGGTGGGTAATGCGCTACGCACCATTTTGAGACCTTCATCTCGTTCGGCCTCCCAGACATCGTCGGATATCGAGTTGTACAGGGCATTATTGAATAAACCAATATTGAACCCTTGGTCTTGCGCTAAGCGATCATGCCATTCACGGCGCACAAATCCCGCGTAGCGAAGCAGAGCCTTTTCTCCTCGTGGACGCATGCGATGCTCATGGTTGGTAATGAGCGTGAAAAATAACGC